AAGCTACCATGGTTATGGATAGCTAATTTCCTTTGTATCAAAGGTAGAGGTAGTCTACCTTAGTTTTATGTATTTCTTTTGATTGGCCTTGTATGTGAATAAGTGATGATTAATATATGATGAATATTTTTGTTCTTAATGATCTATTCTTCTTTTGTAAAACACTAGACATAGATTTTATGGAACTAGATCTAAAATATTCATCTATTGACTTATAGATTGGAGAGATCAGTCTATGGTTGATATTTTCTTTTTATTGTACTTAAAGCTTACTATATTGGTTGTTATATGGAGAGATCGTGTAACGATGAATATAGTATTTCTCACGACACTGCTCTAGGCATAGACAATATTGAGAGAATACACACTGATATTAATCAGATCTGACTTCAGATGCAAGATTGAAAGAATACGTATTAGTTAGGGTAGACACAAGCTACTTTTGATATACTTTATTAATCAACAACTTTAGAATTTATAAGATTTGCTACTAAAATCGTGACAATTTATGAAACAAACTTTGAAAACTTTTTTTCTTAAAATGGTAAACTATTGAACGACAAGGATCCCATATCAGAACAATCCATATGGAGACGATAACAATAACCCCCCCATATATCTGCAAAATCAACAAGGAGTATTTTGGACTTTGGACCTTAGGACTTAATGCTTTCCCTTACTTGGAGTGGTATTTGAGAATTTGTGATTCACCTGGGTCTTATGATTCCGCTAGACCATTTTAATCTTCAATTTAAGAATTGGATGTTCTTTGTGAGTTTGTGACTTGGTTGTCCATCTGGATCTTTTGATACTCATCTGCTCACGTGTGTGTTTATCTTGTGGCTCAATCCAAAGAGAAATGAATGCTTATTTTGAACAATGTCAAATGCTTGCTCCATCTTATGGTTAGTACACTTGCACACACAAAGACTTTCTCTTGGGCTACCTTACAATGAGACCTTTTATTTCATGTCTTTAGCCTTTTACTTTAGGATAGTCTCTTCATCTTCTTCCCATTTCTTCAATTTTCAAAACTTGTCCCTATTTCAAAAAAAATTTGTTTTCAAACTTCACATTTTTTCTTAATAAACCTTGACTTTGTCAAGTGATCCAAAAAATCTTTTTCTTAATAAATGCTAAAACACTTAAGCATACTTAAACTCTTTTCAAAACTTCTTAAAAAGACAAACCTCATCAAACTTTTTTTTGTGCCTTAGTGCACTTTTCTTTAAGAGATTTTTTTTGAAAGGTTGGATATTAGTCTATTCTTGTAGTGACGCAAACCACTATAATTCTATAACATATTGAAAAATGATTGATATTTTCCACTTGAATGTTGAGACGTGCTTGTGAGAAAGTCCAAGTAAAAGTTCTCCATATCAAGATGATGCAAATTCTCATTTCCTCATACTTGTGGATAGTAAGTTGAGTTTTCCACTCGAATACGACAAAATTTTTTTTCACTTAAAATCAATCAACAAACAACCCAATTTTTTTTATAAACATAGATTTGCAAGTGGTTCCTATGGACTACCATAGATGTAATAAGTGCTAATACTTTCCCATTACATACCCAACCCCCGTATCTAGATTTCTCTTTTGTTTTACTTTTGTGGGTTTCGTTCGACTTTTCCCCCTTTCCCTTTGGAAATAATAAAGTTTGGTGATGACTCTTGCTTTTCGAGTTAAGTTAATCAATAGATTAATCTTAAAATATTTCCGCCGTGACAACATGTTGCATACAAAATTTTGCCAATCAAATGTAATAACACTCTTACATGTGACGATGATGACAATCAATAATTACATGCATCTTTTACATTAATTTTGAGTACTTTTAATTTTAGTCTTTTATGTTTTGTAGGTTTTAATAAAGATTCCAAAGAATTGTGGAAAAGATTTATTTATGCCAAATTCACCCTGACTAGAAAAATTATGCAGTGTTTTAACTTAAGAGTTACAATGATAAAGAATGGAGATGATTTGGAATAAAATAAAAAAATTGGCAAAATCAATGAAGCTGAAAATTTGGGCAATTCCTTCGAGAAAAATGGTGCCACGTATGACCGATCGTCGTGACACGTTGTGCGGTTATCATAAATATTACTCATAACATGTATACCTATGTGAAGAATTTATAAATATTTATCCATGTGTTCATCAGTCTATCCATAAAGTAGGATTAATGCTTTAATATTTTTTCACTTCACTGCAAATCTTGACTACAAATACTTTAAGAATAATATTCTTATGTTTAATGAGATCTCATAATTAAGTCATACTTAATACATCATTAAACGAACTATAAATTCTAGGGGTTTTATTACTTTGGGAAAAGAAACATAATTAAGAAATCTCTTATTATTAGATTATATGATACAAGTACCAAGTTCTAATAAAACTATTGGCCTGTAGGGCTTACGCTAACAATTGGAGCATATATATTAGTCATGTTCATCTTGATACAAATTAAGTCATTACACGCCTCATTCAATGCCTTTGTAAACAAATATGCTAGTTAATCTCGTGCCTTAACTTAGGAAGTAAGTATGAGATTTCTTTGAACTTTTTCTCTGATAAAGTGACAATCTACCTCAATATATTTTGTGTTTAATGAAAGACTGTATTCAAATTAATATGTACAACATCTTGGTTATTGCACCACATGTTCATATGACAAGTATTCTCAAATCCCATCTAATACAAGATTTGTCTTACCCATATTAATTTGAATGTAATTTGAGCCACGACCCCGTATTTTTCTTTTGCATTTGATCCTACTATCACATTTTGTTTCTTACTTTTTCATGATGTCAAATTACCTATAAAAAATACACAATATTATATGTTAAACTTCCGATTTAAGTATAGTATAATTTGTGCCAACAAAAATCAAAAGAGATAAGTGAGTTCAAATCGTTTTCCCATGGGTTGTTTTAACTTTTAGACTACTAAGCTTATTATACTTGATATTAGTTAAACGAACAACATAATATCAATTGAAGGGGTACACATTGCATAATTGGATTGATTGTGCAAAGATTCTAACAATTTCTTAAACTAAACTAATTGTTATAAAATTTAAGTAGAGAAATAATTAAGCCCTCTTTTGAACCTTTTATCCTTTTCATATGGTTAATCCTTTCCTGAACCTATAATGATTCTTATTATATCACAACTATTTTATAAAATAGTTGTGTGCGATGTCTCACCATGCAATCTATTTTATCTAATTACATTTACAGTTCTCCAATGTTTTAAGCAAAGTCACAAGTGACAAAAGTTTGATCAATCATAAATACATATATTATGACCGAGTATATCATATATTTATTTATTATAAATAGCCTTCAAATATTATTTATTTCTAATCGCATTATACGTGGTTAGCTTACAAATAAGATCTACATCGAATTTCCCAAATTCTTAAATGCGAAAAACATTAAATGCAAAATATTGTTAAGTAACTATAAACTTATCATTACAAGGAGCATATCTAAAGGAATTACATGGTTCACACTAATAGAATTTTTTTTATTTAAAGTGGCTTAATCTAACGAAACTAACTACTCATTCTTAAGTGAATTATAAAAAATTCAATTAAAAAAAACAATTACATTTCAAAACAATTAAACACTTTTTTGGAAAATTATATAAATTAATCTTGTTTTCACAAAATTGTGTCACACTGTGCCCCAGTGGGGCGTTGTGATTTTGTGTTGTTGGTGAAGTGATATCCTCGTGATCGTAAAAAAATCTCTCAGTTCATGTCTTGAGCACCGCAATATTTCAAATATTTAATTGTTATTTTTATGCTCCATATTGCGTCACAATAAATGTTATGTGCAGCACAAATTTATTCAATCTTGAAATGTTTCTTCTTTTCTTTTAATTCTTATGTGCAAGTCTTCTTTGTACTTCATCTCTTAACTTCTATAGTGAAATACTGCATAATTTGTTTAGTTATAATGATTTTGACAAAAATCAATATTTTTCATGATTCTTTAAAATCTTTATTAAATCATACAAAATATAAATGAATTAAAAGCAAAGATACTTAAAAGGGATGCAAATTATACTAAAAAAACTTGTAGCGACAAACTGTCATCACAACCTCAAACTTAAACCCTTCCTTATCCTGAAAGAAAAAACATGAAAATTGAGATCTAACAAAAAAACATTATAATTTACATGCTTCAATGATAATGTATAAGTTTGATATTACTTATTATAATACTATCATGATCACATTCAGTTTTTACTTCCATTCTCAATTCTCAACATGTATAAATCAAAATATGTATATCCTACTCATACACATTCAACTTTTTTTCCTTCCCCGTCAATTCACTCAAATGATAAGGATTTCATTCAATCAACACGTAAAGATCATTTTACTATAAGTTTGAAAATTTTCTAAACAATCCATCAAACCAAAATTATTACACACACTTTTAAAGTTTTAAAGGTTATAACGTGGTTTAAATAAGGTGGGATAAATTTGAGAAAATAAGTTAAATTTTTGGAGTTAGACAATAAATTGTTTCATTCATCCATTTTTTAAAGATATTTACTTTTACAAAAACTAACACTTCAAGGGATGATCCTAAACTATTAGATATGTTTCTTTATTTGCATTGCTACCCAAAAGTACAAGGTGTATTAGTAAAAAGGATGGAGTGAATAGTAATCCCTCATCCCAAATTTGTTGTTATCTTTTCATCTTTATAAGCCCATTTTCCAAATCCACCATGTGGCCCATATTCTCTCCCAGATCGCACTGTCCGAGTCAATTTCTATTTTCATTCATTGAATGACTTAAGCTGCATCTTTCTTCTCGAACCACCATTCCTCCACCGGGAACCGCCATTTCTCAGATTCCCGACACGGCGTCCAATTTTCCAACCGTTTTCCCCAACCTCCATTCCCTAATTCCTCTCCGAATCTAAACTCGAAGTGCTGGATCCTTATAAGAAGACTAGAGCTATTCAATCTCCACTATGAGGAGGTAGAGTTAATGTGATTCGAAATTGATTTTGATTTGGTTTCGATTTTCAAACATCGAAAATGTCGTTGATTTCAGAGCTGGACTTCACAGGCAGCATGGAAGAAATGCCGGAGGATCTGGATTCAAAGGAATGGTTACGAAGTTGTCAATTGCTGCTGCGGTACTCTTGATCTGCACGCTCTCATTGTTCTTCTCTACATCAAGAACCTCAAATGTTCAATCCAATTTTCGCACAGAGGTTCGTGCAAATTTGTTGAGTTTATAGTCTCTGCGTTTTTTTTCTTCTGAATTTGCAATTTAGCTATTTTGTTATTTATTGTTAAACAGATCCATTTAGAAGAACTTTGGAGCAGTGCTGATTCCGGTAGTTGGAGACCATCGTCTACTCCGCGATCTCATTGGCACCGTATCTATCTGTTCTTGTAGTTACAGACTGTTTCTCATGCAAGATTTTTCATCTGAGTATGGATGTTATAGAATTTTTCTAATCATGTGTTTGGTGTTTATTTTCTCAGCTCCTCCGAGCAAGAGTAATGGCTATTTGCGTGTTCGATGCAATGGTGGGCTAAATCAGCAGCGTACTGCAGTTTGTACTCTTTTCCTCTTCTCACTGTAAAATGTGACGGTTTTTTTATGAGTATAGGGGTTGTTATTTTCTAACTTTTGATTTAGTGCATTATGTATGATTGTGAAGCTAGGCGAATGAATCTAGTGTTGTTGTTAGGATGGGTCTTTGAATATGTATGGGGATTATATTGTGTTCTGTGTATTGTATTTATATATTTGTATTTTTAATGATGTAGATCTCTAATGCTGTTCTTGCTGCGCGGATCATGAATGCTACACTAGTGCTGCCTGAGTTGGATGCAAACTCCTTTTGGCATGATGAAAGGTAAATTTTTAATTGTCTTGAAATTTTAATTCTTAATTTATGAACTGCAAAACTTATTCATCAATTTTGATTTTGATTCTACTGGAAAAAGATTTGTAAGCTATTTGTATTTTCTTGAATATGTATGTTGATTGCCCAATTTGAATGTGATTATTAATTATTTAATCAATAATCGTTTTTTTTAAACGAATAATTAGTATTACTGTTATTATATTAGGTGTTTATTAACATATTAGGATACCATGAATTCTTTTTTCCTTTAGGGAATGCATTAGTGTTTTAGTTTTTATAAATTAAGTACTAATACAAATAATGTATTTATTATGGAAACATGAATTTTGCATAAATTTATGTTTAGTTTGTCTAGAAAAATGCAATGTACTACTAATAAAAGGCATCTGTTTAGCTCTTTTTAACCTGTCTCCTTAGAGCATCCATTAAAAGGCTGAAGGCCTTTTTTGTTTTATTTGTTCTTACTTCACAGGTAATAGATGGTATGTACTATTTTCCCCATATGAATTTGAAAGATAGTTTCTGGTGAAGTTATTATAGATATAGCAAGTATTTGTTGGATTAACTTTTGTGTGGAAACAATATGCACGGATAACTATCGGAGGGAAAAATTTCATTTGCTAGAATTCTTTTTCCCTCTTCTCATGAGAAATAAAAAGAGCTTGAGTGCATTTTTTTAGAAACAAATTGAAATCTTTGCATTTATTTGGATACCTTTTTTACATCCTTAGCATGATATCTAAAGTATATAATTTTCTATAAACTAGCATGAGATGCTTGCTCCTTTGTCAGATGGATTATTGAGTTGTGTGTTCATTAATTTTATTTAAACTTCCCTGATAGATAAACAGACAGAAATGTGTTTGTTCTAGTTTCGACAATTAGCATCTAAAATTCAAATACAGTAAAGCACGATTCACCAAAGTTCCCAGGCTAAGTTTATTAATTTAAATGTTTGTGTTCAGGACCTTTTGGTAGTTTCTAATGAGTATCTTATTCTGATTTAGAAGACGAGGCACCTGTTCTATGGTTTACAGATTCTGGTTTCATTGATTGGTAAATTTGTGATGAACTGGTGTCACACTATACTAAAACAGGTCCTATATCATTTATTTGTTTGATTTGCATGCAGTGGTTTTCATGGTATCTACGATGTTGAGCACTTCATCCAGACACTGAGGTTTGATGTAAAGATTGTAGAAAGCATTCCAGAAAATGAGAAAAATGGCAAAAAGAAGAAAATAAAGGCATTTCAGGTAGACTATAATAATTTGGCAATTGATGAGTGGTTTGAAATCATTTTAATTGCCTGGATAATATGTTCAAAATTTCAAATGTTATTTTGACACAGCTCCGCCCTCCTAGAGATGCTCCTATAAGTTGGTATACTACCGACGCACTCAAGAAAATGAAAGAACATGGTGCTATCTATCTTACTCCCTTTTCACACCGATTAGCGGAAGAAATTGACGATCCTGAGTACCAAAGATTGAGGTGTAGGGTTAACTATCATGCTTTAAGATTCAAGCCACATATTATGAAGTTAAGTGAATCAATAGTTGATAAGCTACGTGCACAAGGGCCCTTCATGTCCATACATCTTCGGTTTGAGATGGATATGTTGTCATTTGCTGGGTAAGTTATCTGGCATGCTTTCATGTTCACATACATCAATTGAGATATAGACGTGTTGTAGTTGGTATAATATAATATCTTTTACACTAACAAGATTTAAATGTATGCTTATCTTTTGATTCAAAGCTATGGATATTTATGCCAACTTTTCTCAAAAAGTATAAGATCAAAAGCATGAAGTTTCAGTCCATCCGTGGATCTGTTTTGAATATTTTTTTATTGTTTCTAAACATTTCTAATGGCCTCTTCAAAGGTTTTTTTTTTTTTTTTTTTTTACTTATCTCTGTTATGGTGGATCCTAGGTGAAAATCACATTATTTGACAAATTGAAACTCTTTTGTGCACATGTGCTTAACTTCCCCTCTGTTGGTTATTTTCCTTTGTTAGATTTGAGATATTGATATTCATTGTAGAGATATTGATCTCTCAACATCCTTGTTGGTTATTTATTTCTTACAAGGGTACAGTTAGCTCTGAATTAATGAGTTGTAGCTACCAGCTACCAGCAATCTTGATGGTATAGTGCATCTGTTTTCTAGCACCATAGCTATAGAGTTATTGGTGATGCTTCGTAAATTGTGGTGATTTCTCCAAACCATGCTGTTAACTAGCCTGGTTTCTATTTGTTTTCTTAGGTCCTGGCTCTAGCTGAATGTGATATAAGTAAATTTTAATCACTTTTTTTTTTTTTTTTAACGTTAACTTAAAGGCATTGTTCTGTAAAGAAGATATACAGGGGTTGTCATGAGTCATGACTCGAGAGGGGTTTAGAGCAAGGCAAGTTATATAAAAAAACGAGAATTTCCATTTTTTGATTGAGTTTAAAAGTTGTCAACTGAGACCCTACCAAGAATTGGACAAAGTGTACTGTTTGTTGATGAGAAGGAGAATGTTGATTTAGGACAATTGACCAAGAAACTATATATAGATCACATTTTATATATTTTTGATTACAGATATAAAGTGATCAGCCTTTCTTTCTGAACTTATTCTTACTTTTAATATTCTTCTCAAAGTAGGATAAGGAGGAGGCTTTAACCAAATTCCATATTTTCTAATACACCAACACTTTTTTCTTTCATGCTGGCACTTGTTTTAGTACAATTGAAATGTATATTATTAGTATAAAAAAGTTCAGACACTTGTTGGTAAACATTCACACTTAAACTGCTTTTGAACGTTTTAGTAAACTTTCCCTGCAAGCTTTTAAGTCTGTCCCAGTGGATATGTGGCTCATTTATTCGTGTAAGCTATGTTGTAAAACTGAATAATTTTGCTATTTCATTATATTCTTTAATATGCACTGGGGATATCTTCCTGTTATATCTAGATTGTTTGGCTTTATCTGTCTGTATTAGTAGTATGTTGACATGTTTTGTTAGTGCTGATACAAGAGTAGAATCTGTTTTCTTGGTGAATAAATGAACTCAATCTTTTAAAATTAAAACTATAATTTAAATCTTTTCTCTCTAAGTCACTCGTGTTAAATATGAATGTGATTCTAGATGCTTTGATATATTTACGCCCGAGGAGCAGAAGATTCTAAAGAAATATCGAGAAGAAAATTTTGCACCTAAAAAACTTATCTATAATGAAAGAAGAGCCATTGGAAAATGCCCATTGACACCCGAGGAGGTAGAAACTAGTTTCATTTTCATTATGTTTTCGTTGATTCTTTGTCTGGAAAATTGTATACATGTTGATGATTACAAATTACAAATTTGTTGAAAGTTATGATGCCAATGATTTAGTTGGATGCAGACTGATATGTTCTAGTTGCAGGTTGGTCTTATTTTGCGTGCATTGGGTTTTGACAATTCTACCAGGATATATCTTGCTGCCGGTGAATTGTTTGGCGGGGATCGATTTATGAATCCATTTCGAAGTTTATTCCCTAGACTTGAGAATCATTCTTCTGTAGATCACTCCGAAGAGCTTGCTGAGAACACTAGGGGATTGGCAGGTTCAGCTGTGGATTACATGGTCTGCCTTCTTTCTGACATTTTCATGCCAACCTATGATGGTCCAAGCAACTTTGCAAACAACCTCCTTGGGCATCGCCTTTATTACGGCTTCCGGACTACAATCAGACCTGACAGAAAGGCTCTTGCCCCCATCTTCATTGATAGAGAGAAAGGCCAAATGACCGGTTTTGATGAAGCTGTTAGGAAAGTCATGCTTAAAACAAACTTTGGTGAACCACATAAGCGTGTTTCTCCTGAGTCTTTCTATACTAATTCTTGGCCTGAATGTTTCTGCCAAACATCAACAAAGAACCCAGCAGACAAATGTCCACCAAATGATGTTTTAAGTGTTATGCATGACCAATTGAATAAACAAGTTACAGATACAAACTCTACAATAGCTTGAGCAGAAATCAAGGGGTTACTCGTGGCTCTGAGCTAATCGATCTTGTATTCTGCAGTAATGAACTGTTGTGTGCCGAATTGAAAAGGAACGAGCTCCTATTACACGATCCAGATTTTCAGGGAATTATTAGTTCTATCGACGGAGTGATATAGTTATGATAATAACAAGAATTCAAGGAGCTGATCTGTATACCCCTAATTTAATTGTGTAGACGATAGAAGGGAGATCACACAGATTGGGTAGAGAGCCAGCAATGTGATTGGGGTTATGTTGTGTAGACTGCATGAGAAAGGCACTCATAGTTAGTTAGTGAATGTTGAGATTTCTGGCATTTATATGATAGATGTTGAATACTTGGAGTGCGGATAAGTATCTGATATTTTGACTACATATATATGTTTTTATTATTTGTTTATTTAACTTAACTTGTTTTTGGGTGAATTTCCTACAGTTTTTTTCAAGATAAAGGACTAAACAAAAATTCTGCAGGGTAAAGACAGCCCATAAGTCATTTAACAAAGAATAAAGAACAATTTGAAAGAGAGCTGGCTATAAACTTTAGACCCAGTTTTTTTAAGTAGTCTAATGGCTAGAGTTCATCTTATTAAGGATGAATATTCTGGATTCAAATCAGCGTCCTTGTATTCGATATTTTTATACAATTCTGAATTGAACTGATTTAGTGGAACTAGATCCAATTTCTATTATACTTCAAACTTATATGACTGATGTTGAACATTCAAATGCTAAATAGTATTATTTCAGCTCTTAATTATAAAATTCTGTTGTGTTTTTTATTTGCCTATTTTTTATACTATTTTCTTTAAATTTATCAATTGTTGCTCCTTCCAAACATTTTTCATGCTTTATTTAGTTATTAGTTAAAGTCTACGTGGTTTTAGAAATGGCTTTAGAAAGTGCAATGAAAGAGAATATTTGAATTATTTTGATAAAATATCTTTTTTTTTCCTCTTAGCTATAATTTTGAATTCAGATTAGTTTCTTAATTTTTTTTTATATCAGATTGGTCTCTTAACTCTTAAAAATGTTATGTTAGTCCTTTTTTGTTTAATTAACGAAGAATTTAACGATCGATTTTTGAACTTTCTCGTCGCTAATTATATAAAAAGGACTAACATGACACATTTTAAGAGGTAAGAGACCAATCTTATAAAAAAAATTAAGGAGTCAATATGAATCTAAGAGTATAGTTAATAGACCAAAAAAAAAAGTATTTTGCCAATTATTTTTGGATATATTTTATGGAATTTCTCAATGCATCCTATATATTACTAGTACACCATGTAAAAAATACTAAAATCTTTTTAAATTTCGGAGATGCATTTTCGGGCGCACCCTAAATGCACATAACATATGTCAATTCTGGGTGATGTCCTAGTAGTTGGGTTTTTAAAACCTGAAAATGCATCTTCGAAATCTGTCCGTAAATGCATTTTCGTAACATATCTGCAACAGAAGCGGAAAACCAGAAACTTGTATTTTGACAAAATAAAATTACAATTTATAACATAAAATCAACACTACATAGGTGATTTCAACATAAAATGAAACATTACATTTCAATATCCAGGTAGACGCTTCAACATCTTCACAATATCTTCGATCGATCTTGAAATCGTTGCTTTCGACTCGAGCGGAACTTTTGTTTTGAAATGAAAAAAAAGTATTCCACATAGCCCTTACATCTGCATCTGTCTTGAGCTCATAGTTGTTGAACTCAATTTTGCCTTCGTTGTTAATTGACGATGAACGGTACTCGAACTTTACAATTTTTCGATTATCTCTGTAAGGTATTAGATTAAGCACTTCGTATTACAGATCTGCAAAAGAGGTGCACTCATTGAGCTTAAACTTTTGTCTGAGTGTCGTGCTGGAGAAAGAGACATTTGCAACATACCAGATGATGTTTATTTGTGACATTTGAAACATTTTCTGTTTGTATGTAATAAATAATAAGAGCCCCTAATTTATAGAAGTTGTAAACAAATATGAACCTCAAAAATTCTATCAGGCTTCAATATTGATTTTGGAGATACATTTTCGGCACCGTCCTATTATCTTATTTCGGAGATACATGTCCAGAACCTATCAAGAACCAAGCAGAAAACATAACCTATGTGTTTTGTTTGGCAAAAAAGAGACAAATGTTTTGGAAAATGTAAAAAATGTATTATAATATTTGAAAATGTATATATTACACTTTATTAATATTAATACACAATTACATAAAGTTAATTGATGACGAAAAACTAAAACGAATAAAAAGATTTCTGGTAGGCTAAATCTATGAGTATGAGGGGTACACCCTTTGGCTTTTGAGCATTTGATTTTGTTTCAATGTTGCTTAATTTCTCTAACTCTTGCATCCTTTCCACAAAATAGTCCGGCCAAGTCTCGACTTTGTTATTGAACGAGATGTCCACTCCGGTGATGTAGGTGGTATAAGGCATCTCGATTTCAAGTAAACTTGAACAAAGTGTTGTGATTTTGAAAGCCACCCAATACACATAATACAAACATTTGGATTTTAAGGTGGGACGGTGCGTAGTGAGAAAAAGGTTTTCGAAAAACCATATCTTGTAAGATCAATACACATTCTATCACGCGCACATGCTATGATATGAACCATTTTAGGGAAGCGCGTCCATTTTTCTTCTGGTGTCGGTCGACTAATGCAAGGAACAAGAGACTCAAAAGTTGTATTAAAGTTTTCTTTCTTTCCGTTAAGCCGTGTGTTTGATTTTTTATGGATCCTCTACTCATGGATAATTTGATGGAGGACAAGTATGTGATTATCTTCTCCTTTACCGAGCAAGGCCGAAACAACTCGATAAATGCAATCGTCACCCTCAACATTGACGGTCCGCTTGATGTATTTGTGATAAAAACCACATCTCGTCAATGAATGAAATCTTTGGTGGAGGAGGTGAATGAGGTGTTTTGATAATGCGATATCCTTTAAAAACATTTTTTTTTGAGATTTTGGAGTTGGTGAGCCCAGAAAAACTTTGTCAACTTGTTCAAAATACGAAGGAGACCACACCGTTGAATTGTTACTCAGTGTAGGTTTGACCTTCTTCTGAGCACCTTTTATTTTTACATGTTTGGTAAAAACATAGGGGTGCACCATGTCTAATGAAAACAGTTACAATAAAACCATCAATAAGTGTTAATACTGTTAATAAAGCTAAAAAAAATGAAAACAAACAGATACCAAAAATGCATTTCCGGAAGAGTTCATTCAGGTTCCGGAGATGTATCTCCAGATTAAACACATATTTTTCAGACTTAAGACAAGATTAATGTCAGCAATGAGGCTCAAAATAAATGATATTTACCTAGAATTCCTTCTTCTTTTGCTCCCTTTGATGTGATGAAACACAATATTGAAGATTTAGAGTGAAATGTGGATTGAGAATGGAAGAATTTTTTTATAAGGGTTTGGAGTAGAAAACAAGAATGGTTGTGTGATCATGCATGTGAGTGTTTTATCAAATTATTTCAGAGATGCTTCTCAGAAAATATATGACATGTAAAGTTGACAAAAAATTCAAATTCCGCCTCAAACCTCCGTAGATGCATCTCCGCTAAATCCACTAGGTTGATCAACTATCAATATATTTGTTGAAAATTTCCGGAGATGCATCTTCGGACTAATTTGATGTGTTAATCTAGGGTGACAGTCATTTGGTGCGTTATAAAAGTTATGGAAGGCGCGTCCAGAGACGTATCTCCGAAAATTGAGGGTTTTTTTTATAATGTCCATAGGGTGTTTTTCCACCCCATAGCGTGGAATAAGAAATTCTCAGATTTTACTTAAATACTTATGGATTGAAAATGTTTTTGGTTTCTTTCAATATTTTAATATTTGTTTTTAATCTTTTAATTTTTTCCCCTCAAATGGTAGTTTTTAAAAGTTTTTTTTCTATGTCCTGTTAATCCAACTTAGTTGATAGCTATGCAGAGACATCAAATGCAGGGGTGCAAGTTCGAATCTGTGATATCTCACTTGTTCATCTTTGACAAGGATGAAATTCAACTACTAGACAACTTGACAAAAAATGTTTTTCTTCAATTAAATCTAATTAATAGAAGATAACGTGGCATAACGCATGATAAATGTTTTGTGAAACATTTGTTAATTGGACACCGATGGCCTTATCTTAAACTAAAATAATTTTTTTTAAATATTTTCTTGCAATCTCTAATTTTTTTTGTTTACATTCTTTCTCCATGTAGTTCTAAATACTATATACCGTGTTCTTCTTTCTAATGGTTTTTTGTTCTTATAAGTATTCTTACAAGTATTATGTGATTTTAAATATTATGATGTGTTCTTGTTTCTAATGGTTCTTTATTCTAACAAGTGTTATCACCTTTAATTTTTCTTTGGCCACCCCTTCACCATTGTGAATGTCCCTTTATCTACGAAATTATCACCATTATTATGTTTGCAAAAGGAAATTCTTTTTCTCACCTTTATGGCGAGGGTTGCACCTCTGAAAATCCTAAAAAAAATTTAGATTTTTTGTAGATGCATCTCCGAACGCACCAAAGAGTATTTTTGAAAATTTTTAGTCTGGAGATGCATCTGCAAAAATTTCTGGAGTGAGTTCGCAGATGCATCTCCGAAATCTTCTATGCATGTTTCTGGGCAGAAACATTGTCCTAAGTTTGTATTTTTTATGAATCCAAAGTCATTTTAATTAGACTAACATTGTCGTTATTTGATTCAAACATTAATAAACACGAATATTGTAGAACAAGGTAATGCGTTAATTAAAAAAAATCAAATCATATTACGAACATTATTCTTAAAGTATGGTAAAAAATACAAAAAACATCCTAAAATACAAATAAAAGCATAACTTATTGTGTATGCCTAATCCTAACCTCTAGCTCCTCCTCTTCCACTGGTAACCAAAGGCATTTTGTGCCTCGGTAACAATGGAGCGTATTAGGGCAATCACATCATCGCC